CCCCCCCCCAGTTGTAAGTCCCCGTTCGCATTGCGTTCGCAGGAGTGCAGTGCAGCCTAGTTAATCCCCAATTCCCGGAACGTAAGTTGGCCGCGGTGAGTCACGGTGCCCTTATAATTCCCCTCTCTCCCTTCTCTCTCCCTCCAGCATCACTTCCCCTCCTCTCCCCTCCCCCCTCCCCTCCCCGCTCCACCGCGCGCTCCGCGCCATGTTTGCGCGCGCCGGGATGCGCGGTAGTCTGGTGCGCAGCGTCAAGCGTCAGCGTCGTGTCTGCAGGGTTGTGTCTCGCTGTCCTTGAAAAACTCTGTGATATGTGAAGAGAAGAAAACTGAAGTTTCAGCGGGTGGTGTTTTCTACCGGAAGACTTCCTTCAATATTTTGTTGTTTTAATTTTAATTGAATTTTGGTTGAGTTGAATACTCGGTTTTGCCTTAAAGGCTCCTCAAGAGCGCCTATTGTCTCTGCATAGCTAGACTTCCTTTCTTTGATTATTTACTTGAATCTAAAATCAGAATTATGTCGCGGAATGTGTCATACCGCGGCGAGAAAAGACCTGACGTCAGTGAAAAATTTTATACAGAAGGGTATGTTTAATATTTTGTTACTTTTCTAATTATTATGAATTTTTGTTCAGTGGCTTAACAGGCTACATGACTTAAGCATAACTAAGATGCTGACAGTTTCTATGTAATTTTCAAGGTCGTCCACTTTGAAACTTAAGCATAAAACCTTCTTGATCTTCGTGAAACCTAACCAAAGCCTAGAAGTCATGATTTATATGTTACATTTTTCTCAGAGAGCGAGGTCCAGGGCCCGTGGGGAATATATTACCATCAAAGGAAACGCTTAAACGTATCCATATAAAATGTGGCGATGTATCTTTGCCTGGACGAAGACTTGAAGGCCCGCCGCCACCACCGCAAGATTTTTTTATTTCGAGAGAAGCCGGTAAGCCAACAGTGACTCCAGATGAAGAACTCTCGAGGGTCTGTTAGTATTAAAAAGATAGAAGTTACAGCAATGACAGTTACTAACTATTTCAATTAAATTTAAAGCCTGGGATACTTAAATTATCATAACTATTTTAACTCTTTTTCTTTGAGTTGGCTATACAACATCTCAATCCTCAATTAAGTGCCAAATTTAAGTTTTAATTTAACTGTCAATTTAAATGTTGTTTTGATAGAAGCAATCAAATATCTTTGTTGAAATCTATATTCTGAAGAAAACATCAATTCAAACCTCTGCACCTCATCATCAGCAGCAGTACTCCACGAAGAGCCGCCACACAGCATCAGGATCCAGCCTCTTCTTCATGCGCTTAAAGCTTTGATCTGAATTTTCTATCTCAGTACCATTTCATAAGTTTTCAAAAAATGTATTTCTTAACTTCATTTTTTTATAAAATATTTATCTAGTATTATCAGCAAATTTTTAATCTAATTTAAATTTTGTTCTTTTTGAAATCTACTAATAATACTTCAAGTTGCGGATTTATTATTTTATGTCAGTTTCGTCAAAAATTCATCCGTATTTTGCTTTTAAAAATACAATTAAACACTTGTTTGTCTATTATAGATTGCAACAGTCTCCTGGTCAAAGCTTTGCGCCTCTGAAATCATCAAAGGAATAATGGGGTAAGCTGGCAGTGCATGATTTAATTCCCATTTTTTACAGCAGCTCGCAGCTAGTGGCTTATGTGGAGTCAAAATTCAGCTTTTTTATATAGCTGCATTATAGTGAGGCTGATCAGTTTTCCTCACTAGAGCACGTGCTCACAGAGCTGCTACAGCACTGGTAACACTTTTAACTCTATCATGAATGCTATGCGTCTTCAACGTTTAGCAAACTTTGCTTTAGAAGTAAAAATCTCAAAACCTTAAGAAAAAAAATGTTTTAAACTTGATAGAGACATGTATTATCAAAGTGCCTCTAAACTTTTAAAAATATATTCACTTCTTCCTTGCCTTTTAAAGTGGCATGTTACTATACATTTTCAAAATCAGTATTGGAGTCTATACGACTATTGTGATGCCTAGAATGGCCAGATGCCCAAAATGAAGAGAGAAGAAATGCAGAAATGATCAAGAGATCCTGCTGAAGAATGTCCTGTAAGGGGGGAAAAAGTTAAACCAAAAGACAACCTCTTCTAAATTTCTTCTTTTCAAAGATTGATTAAAATATTTAGCTTCAGTTTAAATGTCCTCTGAAGAAGGCAAACTTTTTCAGATTAGTGTACTATTGCACTGTTTCACTTCATTCAAAACTAGTTCTGGTATATTTCGTTAATAATTCAGTAATTGATGCACATTACATATTACCGAAACACTAAAAATATGAGAAGAAAGAAGAAACTATCATCACTGCAACTCTAAATATTAGATCCTCACAGATTTCTGTAAAGTCAAAAAACTATCAACCATGTACAGCGCTAGAAATGGAGCAATAGTGAAATTTGGGTGAAATCACAACAATATCGTTTTGATTTTGCATGGTGATTTTTTTGCTCACTTTTCAGCGGTGTCTTCTTCAGAGTAGGCTGTTACGGGCTTGTGTAGTTTTTGCTCCCAGATGAGAAGCCCGCACAAGCTCACAAGGATTTTAATATCTAAAATTTGCATATTATTTCCAATCAGATTTGTTTTTTTCTTTGACAGATCTTACCAAAGGAAACTATATTCCTTCGATCTGTCAAAGCATGAATTGCAATTTAATTGGAAATAATGTGCAAATTTTAGACTGTAAAGTCCTTGCGGGCTCGTGGAACCTTCTTACCTGGGAGCAAAAACTGTACAAGCCCAACAACATACCCTTTTGGAGGCACTGCTTTATAGTCGCTAGCAACACCAAAAGCGACACAAAGTTGACATGCAATATGCAAATGCCATTGCCGTTTCTGGCGCTGTACTTTCTTTTATTATGTTTTAATAGTTGATAGTAGTCGGATATATATTCTCAACAAACTTGATCACTCATTAATTTACAAAGAATCAGTTCGTAGTAGGATATTACCTATTTTAATTAAATGCTCAGTGTTGCCTTTTGAGAAAATACTATGCTCATCTAGAAGATCTTCAAAATTGGCCTACACTTGTAATATACTAAAAATTACCATGTCCTCTGTTACTTTAAATATTGATCATGTGGTTGCACACCTAGCACTTTTATTTGCCATATTTTTCTAATTAGCTTTATGTCGTTTGCCAGTTTCGTATGGAAGTGCATACTGGCTGTAAGATTATTAGTGGCCATTGAAGCAGTGCATGGACAAACCTAACCAGCTACAATCTAAAATCTAGCTGATCATGATTATATGAAATTTTGTGGTTGATAACTATACATTCATTACAAAAGCATGGATTTTCTTTGACATCTAATTTGTGTAACATCATCATTGAAAGGTAGTATATCAATCTATAACAAGAACCTGCCCATGTTAGATTGACTTCACTGCACATTTCTTCACATTGAAAAAAAATATTTCTGAAATTAGTGTGAAGTAGAAATACAGGGTGATACTCAGTAACCCAATTTAATATTTTTCCAACTAGGAATGATTTTTAGAACTCTCCACTGGACTTGCGATTAATTTGATTTAAATTTCAAGTATGGTTTCGCTTGGTAGTTAAGTACAATTTTATTAGTACATCTTATTTTCCTTGACATTCTAGAAAAGCAAGTCTGGTACAGCAATTTTAACCGAGCCACATCTAATTCCTTCAGTCAAGTACCGGGTTACCATTTTCACCATGTTTTAATGGTTTACTTTTATCAAATTAATAATTGATCAACTCACTGGTTCTGCAAAGTTTTAATTTTATTCCCTGAATTTATTAGTATAATTATTTAATTCCTATTGCTGTGATTACATTGAAAGTTGTTTTGAAAGTGAGTTAGATTGTGTTTGGGTGTCATACCTTGCTCATTGAAACTTATAATTAGTATTCACACACTCTTGAGCCACACACACCTGATGAGCCATTTGAACCTTATTCTCAGCATTATTTGAGGTAAGAATTTAGAATTTTATGGTGTACTCTACTCTGCCCCCCTTGTTCTTAACATTCCATTCTTCATTCAAATTCCAACTAATATAGAATTACTGACTTATTGGTTTCTTTAGATGTATCAACTACCTTTCTTTGATGATGACATATACACAGCAAAAGGCTTTTTTATTTTAATTTATTTTTATAAACTGTGTAGATGGTCTTGGACAAGAATTTTGACTTTTTGCATACATTTATTTGTGAGTTGTATGTAGTGGTCTCTTATTTTCTGTCCAATGTCATCCATTACACAGCAGTAATTCCTTCTTTAATCTTTCAATTTGGTTTCTGGCAACAGGTGAGGGCAGGAGACCCATTTTTGATTTTCTCTTGCATAGAAGGGTTGTTGAAGTTGTTCAGGCTACTACTTCAGGTAAGGCTTTTTGAGAAATTTCCTCCTTCTCCATCGAATTACTTTATTCTCTAAATCACGTACAGTTCTACGTGTACTTCAAAGACAGTTTAGCGCAGTAATTCATTCTGAATTTCTACTTCTAGATCCTATCTCAAAACCAGCAAAGCGGGATTCATCTCTGGATAGAACACGTCTTGACAACAGTGCGCCAGGCCATAAAACTGAAGATAGGAGGCGACACGACGATGGCAGGAGGAGGCATGACGATGACAGGAGGGGGTATGACGATGAAAGGAGGGGGTATGACGATAGAAGACGACATGATGGAGGTAGACGGAGATATGATGATGACGATGGCAGAAGAAGAGGAGAAGATGAGAGAAGGCATGACTCAAGAAAGAAGGAGGAAAGCAGAGGTGCCTCAGCCTCAAGGAGAGATGAAACCGATAAAGACAAAGAAATAGATAAAAAGAAAAGGAAAGTGGACGAAGAGGAAGAGAACAATGTTGAGAGGAGAGGTAGATCAATGGTAATTTGCACTGTTTTTTGTAACATCATGTATTCTTTACTTTCTGCAGTATCTCTAAGCTGTTTCTTTATGTCTTGATGCAGGATCATACCCAAAATCATAGTCCAAGGTTACCACCATTTGGGCCCTCGCCCCGCCCAGCCTATCCTCCGGGACCCATGCGGCCCCCATTGTATCCCCCAATGTACCCTCCGCCGTACCACCATCCACCAATGTATTTTGGGGGATTCGGACCTCCCCCTTTTGGGCCGCAACGGCCTCCCCGGCCCCACATTCAATATAACCAAAGTAAGCACAACCTAGTGTACAATGTGTACTGTGTATTCAAATGTCTGCAACTTCTGAAAATTGACTTATTTTTATTTTTCATCGACTAATAATTTTCCCTTTCATTTACAGGCAGGCCATCACATACAAAATAGTTACTTTGGGATTTAATTTTAAGTGTTGTTTTCTTCCTTTAAGTTTATTGATACAGTATTCCAGTCACGTGTCACCTGTATATTTGTAATTTTACATAAATTTTTATGTTTCTTAACTTTTTTAAAATAGCTACGTAATTCTTGGCAACTTCCTTTTAAGCAATTAAAGGTTGATGTGCGAGACAAAGACTTACTTTATTTTTGCATGATTGATTACTTACTACTGTAGAACATAACACAAACAATCATTATAGTAACGAACCGAACACTGAGTTTTCATGTGGGTTTATAACACAATTTGTGAATTCTGAGATGGATGAGATCATTAAACTGTACTCCATTAGCTTTCATAGATTAAAATTAATCAGAAATTTAGCCAACTCTTGAGTTGAGGATGGAAACCGAAAAGATTCATGACTAGTTCAGAGAGAATAGTTTGTCCGTGTTTGCTGTCTTATGAGCATATTTTGACAAGTCAGAAACATACTACAAAACAAATGTGTAACCTATTCTCTCATACGTAGACTAAAAGTACAACAGAACAAAAAAACAAACTCAAAATTGGCATACTTAATGTGTACTATCTAGTTAATTTTACTCAAACAAGTAATCAAGTGATGACACATTACATTCACTTTGATTTTGATTTAGTGTGTATAATTTCTATGTTCCCTTCAGCAATCATTCTTGATTCCCACTCCTGAAGATGTCTCTTGTACTCCTTTTCCTCCTCAGCAGCTAGCTCAAGCCATTTAGATTTTTCCTTTTCTGGTAGCTGAGCCCATACTGCAGCTATCTTGGCAGATTCCTAGAAAATGAAAAAATTGTCCTAGTGCATTTACAAACATACCAGAATAACCAAATTGATTTTGCTAAACGAAAAAAAACAAAAACATAAACATACCTTGATAGCTTGGTAACCACTTTCATAATTTTTCTTTGCATAGTCCATTTGGAATATGATGTAAGCATTACGGGGTCTCTTTGGCATTCCAAGTGCTTTTAGATGCTGTAAAATCCAATCAAATTAATTTCCAATTTCCAGAAAGAAATGGCACAATTAATCTTCTTTGAAGTGCTTTCCTACCTTTTTTTGGTTAATTTTCGTTTTGTCTTTTTTCTCCTTTTTTAAAGTTGCCTTATGCTTTGCAATTGCTAGTTTGTCATCAGAAGAAAGGTTTGCCTTGTAAACTTCTATTTCCTCCTGATACTTCTTCTTTGATTCTTCAGAAATCTGTTGGTACTTCTCTAACACACTTTTATCCAGCTTGTGCCAGTTATCAGAGAGCTTCTTAAATATATCTAAAAAGAACAAGCATAAGAATATGAACTGAAATTCATTGAAATAATAAAGTATTGGTGAGAGAACACAAAACATAATAAAGGGTTGTACTTGCCACTTTTTGAAATACCAGGGTTCTCTTTCACCAGTAATGGCCAGTGCTCAGAAAAGTATAACACCCAAGCAGTTTTACCCCTTTTAGGTGGAGTTGGAATCGATGGCGAAGTTGAATACCAAGCAGATGTTGCTACTGTGAGTGGTCTGGAATAGAAAATTTAAATTATTTCATAGCCAGCTCTAAACTAAACATTTTCTTCAACACAAACCTCTTAATTTCAATTAATCTTAACTCTACCAGCTCTTGATATAAAAATTTCTTCCACAGAAACTCTTAATTCCAATTTATCTAAGATTTACTATAACTTTTATTGGGGTATATATGTCTAAATTAAATACCCACAATTACATAAGAAGAATGAAAAAAGGAATACATTTATAGAGCAGCTTCTTGAGAGGGTTTAGTCTTCCTAGTCCTGCTTGAAACATACTCTACCAAAGCAAACAATTGGAGTCTCACCCACCATACTACTGCATTTCTTTTTATATGAAATTGACGCTGAACAAATTCATAGCCCTGCTTTACTCCAACTACACAAAAAATTGCTACCGTTCGGAAACAAAGCCATTAAGGAATTATCGTTTTTAAGTCCTGAACTTCTAGGTGTACGACTTAAAAGCCAGACTTGATGGCTGAGTGCATACTCGAAAATTACTTCTACTGTACTTGACAAAATAAGCTTTTTCAACATTTTGAAACGCATTCAGAAATTTCTTTTACCATTTGACTGGTTGGACAAATGTCTAAATTTTGGCAAAGCATCAAAATAATTACTCCAAAAGTTATCGTAAGTGTGTCAGTAATCAGTGGCTCAACCCTATCACATAGTCATAAGACTGAAAATAGTTGTCACAAGTGCGTTACTCAACAAAATTGATTGTCAGTGGATTAAAGACGAGATGGAAAGTTTCAAGCAATCACACAACTAATACAACTGAAAAAGGGTCGTGTCAAACAAAACAAATAAGAACACATTCATGCAATAGTTTGTAAACAAAGAGCTAAGTCCTCGACATAGCCTCAAACCACATCTCTTTTATGCTTACCTGGGCAAAAATACCTGTTTGCTTATCAAATCCAAACAACTTCGCATGAACATAGTGATACAGGTTTAATCCAAACTTTCGGAATATTATGAGCGACGTAAATAGCCGTAACCTCTTTGAACTTGTACTTTGCAGCTGTACAGAGTGGCGGTCTTGCTCTACAGGTCTACCACGCTAATCTTAGTTGAGTTTGGGTTGGTAGTACTAGTTGCACTTAACCTGAAATTTCACGTTGGAGCAGAAAAGCATGGAGACTCGTTGGGTGATTAAAAACTGAAATTTCTTGTAAACAAACAAATCAAAATGCCTGAAGTACCATCTTTAAAAAACTTGTATACTGGTTTCGGTAAGATCCCCAAGAAGCAAAACAAGGTGCGTTGGCTAAGATACATTTTTTCCCAGATTTGTTTGGGTACAGCACTTAGGTTAAAGTTGTTTTCGTTGATTATTTCATAATAACAAACATTTTAATGTGATTTTCAGTACTTACAAACTCTTGGTGAACCCCACATTGATTCATTTAACTTTCTCTTAAAGTCGGGTCTTGATCTTGCCGTCAAAGATCTTGAACCTGTTGAATTTCAGTTAGAAGATGGAGACATTATTAAGTTTTCTCTTGAAGTAAGTCTTATCTTAACTTTATTATTGTATTAAAAATTCTTGTTTTACATTTTTGTTATAGTCAGCCTAGTGTTACTTTGGTCTTCAGACCCAAGGGCACCGCCAGTGCCGCTCATGGGATCCGAAGACCAAAGTATTGCTGGGACGACTATAACTGACTTCTGACTATGTTCCCTTCTAGAACTTTCAACTTCAAAGTCCTTCAGTTCCCACCGGAACTGTTGGTATTAAGAACCAGCATATCTTTCCTACTGAATGTAGGCAGAGTGCAAATACCTACAAGGGACGTCTAACCGGACACCTCAGATGGTGGGTAAATGGTCATGAACAAATTCCTTTCAAGAGAGAATTTGGAGACCTCCCGATCATGATCAAGGTTGGTTTTGAAATATATAATATATTTAAATAGTTTGGTACAATAACTAACAAAGCTTTGCATGATTATATTTTTAGTCTGATGCCTGTCACCTCTCTAAAATGTCGCCAAAGGAATTGATTTCCCATCAAGAACATGAACAAGAGTGGGGTGGCTATTTTGTTATCAAAGGTCATGAAAGGCTTATTCGTCTGCTCCTGCAGCAAAGACGAAATTTTCCCATTGCTGTGATTCGACCATCATGGAGAGGCAAAGACTCTTGTTTTTCTGATATGGGGATAATGCTGCGTAGTGTAAGAGAAGATGAATCATCCAATGTAAGCCTGTGTTGATTTGAGTACTCAGCACCATTAACTCACTGAAAATTGTGTTCTACAATTATAGATTAATTTGCTTACATTTTTCTTTTGTTTTACAGAATAATGTGTTGCATTATGTAACTGATGGGACAGCCAAACTAAGAATAGTTCATCGACGTGCTGTGTATTATATACCTATTGTACTTGTCATTAAATGTTTAGCAGATGTTACTGATGAATTTGTCTATGACCAAATTATGGCTGGTCATGAAGATGACTTGTATTTTAAAGGATGCGTCTTAAACATGCTGCGACAAGTTCATGACAGTAATGTTCATACCCATAATGAGGCGAATTCTTATCTTGGTAAAACATTCCGTGTCCGTGTTGCCAGCGAAGTCCCATCGTGGGCATCCGATCAGGAGATTTCTAAATTCATTTTGCGGTAGGTTCTTACTTTGCTCATGCTTATACAGGTCCCACTGAGTGTTTTTTTTAAACCTTTTGCTTACTGATCTTTGTATTGCAATGATAGAAAGACTGTGTGCATACATTTGGAGAATAACATGGATAAAGTCAACCTCCTTGTCATGATGGTCCAGAAACTTCTCTGTCTTGCTCAAGGCAAATGCAGAGCTGAGGGAGTGGATAGTGTAATGATGCAAGAGATCCTTCTTGGTGGCCATCTCTATTTACAGCTTCTAAAAGACCGTCTCCAACTGTGGTTGATTACTCTTAGGAGTAATATTTTAAAAAAACAATCACAGTCTCGGGGAGGTACTGTTAAACTTGATCCAGGTAAGAAAACAATTGGAAAAGTTTAAGTATAACATTGTTAATGGGGAAACACCCTCTTATACATATTAAGATTTTTTTCACTCCTAGCTGAATTACAAAACCAGTTACGGAGGGTACCAAGCTTAGAACCTGCCATGTCTGTGTTTCTTGCAACTGGTAACTTACCCTCTGCAATCAACGTCCAACAAGACAAAGGTAGACAAATTTATTTTAAACATAAACTATCTTTCTTATCAAACATATCAAAAACGTTGTTGACACATTTTACTGAATGGTTTATTCTGTTTTTCTTTACTTAGGTCTGACTATTGTTGCTGAAAATATTAACAGGATGCGATACATGTCTCATTTCCGAGCTGTCCATAGAGGTTCTTTTTTCCAAGAGATGCGCACCACAGAAGCCCGTCAGCTCTTGCCAGATGCTTGGGGATTCATTTGTCCTGTGCACACTCCTGATGGTACCCCCTGTGGTTTATTAAACCATCTCTCTAAGGACTGCAAAGTTAGTTAAACTCGATTGTGTATAGACGCAAAATTTTGAATCAATCCTAGTTTATTTCATGGTTTTTCTGTTAATTTCAGGTAACCACAAATCCAGATGAGAATCTTGTGAGAAATATTCCAACAATCCTCTCAAGTCTTGGCATGTTACCCCTTAACTCGCCTGTTGCACAAACTACATCTCTGCAAGAGTGCTGCATTGTAATTCTTGATGGTCGTGTGCTTGGTCACGTACACAAAAATTCAATAGGAAGACTTGTTGACAAGTTGCGCGTATTGAAGGTCAAAGGGGAAAAGGTCTGTGATTTCTTGCTTTAATCTCAAAATGTCTTTTATGTTGTGTTGTCCTAATAGACAGCTTAATTTTAAATCATCTTCCATTTATCTATGTCTAGGTGCCAAACACATTAGAAATTGCTCATGTTCCAATGAAATCATGCAAAGGGACTCAGTATCCAGGCCTCTATTTGTTTACTGGGCCTGCAAGAATGATGCGCCCAGTCATTAACTTGTCATGCAAACAAGTTGAGCTAATAGGAACTTTTGAACAAGTTTACTTAGATATCTGCATTAGTCCTGAGGAAGCATATAAAGGTCACACCACACATATGGAATGTTCCAAGACTGCTTTTCTGAGCAATCTAGCCTGCTTGATTCCCATGCCTGACCTAAATCAAAGTCCAAGAAATATGTATCAGTGTCAGATGGGTAAACAAACTATGGGTACTCCATGCCACACATTTAATATTCAATCTGAAACCAAATTATATCGTCTTCAGACTCCCACATCACCCCTCTTCAGACCCTCTCATTATGATGAAGTTAGCTTGGATGACTTTGGCATGGGAACTAATGCTATTGTTGCTGTCATCTCTTACACTGTACGTATTTGTATTATAAAATAAATTTCCTCCCTAAGCTGAAAAATAATCTGTAATGAAATGATGTTTTCTTGCTTGTTTTAGGGATATGACATGGAAGATGCCATGATTGTGAACAAATCTTCAATGGAGCGTGGCTTAGGTGCTGGCTGTATTTTGAAGTCTGATTTTGTAGAACTCCCAACTGTGTGTTACTCATATTTTCTACTTTCTACATTGTTGTGTAAAGTTAATAATATCTGAACTATAATGTTTTTATTTTTTTTAATGCCAGACTGACTCATATTTTGCAAGGGATCCTGCTAATTCTGAAATTTTTGACAAACTTGATGAAGATGGTCTTCCATACCCAGGAACTTTACTGACGAAAGGTTCCCCAATGTGTTGGTAAGGGTTTCTAGTTAACCATGCTAGTATACATAACATGTCTATCAAGAAAATGTTCCCGCTTCATTTGTATAACTACTTGTCCATTCCTTTGCAGCTATTATGATAATGAAAGGAAAAAATTTCAAGTTGAAAAGTACAAGGGTTCTGAAGATGGATGGGTTCAATCTATTAGGCAATGTGGTTCATTGACAAGTTCTCAAACAACAAAAGTTAACATTTCGTACACAGTGCAGGTGAGAATTTTACTTTCAACTTTTTATTAATTAATTAATTTTTCTCTTTTTTGTCACTCTGATTATGTAATTCATACTTTCAGAGAAATCCTTCTGTTGGAGACAAATTTGCCAGCAGAGCAGGGCAAAAAGGCATTCTTAGTCAGAAATGGGCATCAGAAGATCTGCCATTCACAGAAAGTGGTCTTGTACCGGATATTGTATTTAACCCTCATGGTTTTCCATCTCGAATGACAATTGGTAAGCATTTATTATTTTTATTCTCCTAGCATATGCCATGGTCTTGTTTTATTCACTAATCCATTATTTCATGGACAAGCTATGATGGTGGAACTCATGGCTGGTAAGGCTGCTGCTATGCATGGATTTGTACAGGATGCAACGCCATTCCGTTTTACTGAAGATGACACTGCCATCAATTATTGTGGTAGACTCTTAGAAGAAGGTATGTTGAAGTTAATGACACAGTCTGATAGGCTTGATTATTATTTCTCTTTAGTTGTGAACTGTAATTTTACTTTTTCTCCAGCTGGCTACAATTACTATGGTACTGAAAAAATGTACAGTGGTGTTGATGGTAGGGAGATGAATGCTGCCATCTTTTTCGGAATTGTCCATTATCAAAGGCTCCGTCACATGGTTTCTGACAAATGGCAGGCATGTATTCCTTCTTTTCACTTTGAGGATACCTTTTTCTTTTTTTGAAACTAGATTGTCTTTATGGTCACCCATTTCTGTCACAGGTCAGAAGCACTGGTGCTGTTGATTCAGTCACTCATCAGCCAGTGAAAGGACGGAGGAGAGGTGGTGGTGTACGTTTTGGAGAAATGGAGCGTGATGGATTGCTGTCTCATGGAGCATCATTCCTACTCCAAGATCGATTGTTTCATTGTTCTGATAAATCAACTGTAAGTGCACCAGTCAAGTAATTGAAAACTCTGTGTATTGTTTTATAGCTAATTTTGTTTAATTTCATCCTCAGCACCAAGTTTGTCAGACTTGTGGAACCTTGTTGGGTCCATATTTGGCAGTTGTAGCACAGGCAGAAGGGCAAGGAAGAAAAATGAAGTGTCGATTGTGTGGAGAGAAAGGAGAGGTTGTGGGAATAGAGTTGCCTCACATCTATAAGTACCTTGTGTCACAAATGGTGTCTATGAATATTAATTTAAAAATGGAATTGAAAGAGGAAAATTAAACAGGGTTTAAATAAATGAAATGTTTCTATTGCCTAATCATTGATGTTTTATTGTATTTCTCAGAAAGAAACATCCATCAATCAGAGCAGTTATCTGCCCGCAGAATGAAACTGCTGAGTAAAATTCAACTTCACACCTGGAAGTTATTTGGTTAAGAGATTTGGTTCCCCATCAGAAGGGTTAGTACACAAATTGGTTCAACCAATTAGAGTACTCTTAAGATACAGACAATACACACATTGTGCAAATACTTTCACGGCCATACGCTTCGTCATTTAGATAGTATTTAACAATGTTTGAAGTCTCATAGGACTCAATAAGCCTAGTGACCAGGATGACTTCATTTACTAAGAAATAAATAACAATGAATTTAATTGAATTAAGAATCTACTTGGTGGCTTCTTGTAAATAGGCAATAATGTCAGCACGTTCCTTCTCCTTCTTCAGACCAGCGAACACCATCTTGGTGCCAGGAATGTACTTCTTGGGGTTCTCCAGGTACTCAAACAGGGTGTCAGGTCCCCAGGTGATACCTAAACATGTACAGAATAGCAAGCGGGTTAATAATGGTGTCAAGGACTTTCAAGCTCAGAGGTAAATGGATAGTACTACTCACCCTTCTCCTTGTTAGCATCTGTGTAGGGGAAGCCAGGAGCCTGGCCAGTCTTGCGGCCAATCAGGCCGTTAAGGTTGGGACCAACCTTGTGCTTGCCACCCTTTTCAACTGTGTGGCACTGAGCACATCTCTGAACAAAGAGCTGCAAATACAATACAAGAAGTTAATTGAAAGGAAAAATGATTGCAGAATATAAAGATCCACCTAGTGCTGGCTAAGTGCTCTTGTGGACTTTAGAGGTCAGGATGACATAAGTGCAATCTCTTGTCACACTGCACTCACCTTCTTGCCATTCTCGGCGTTACCAGCTGGGACACCCATAGTGGACAGGAGGGTATTGGAGTAACTGGAAAAAGAAGAATGGTAGAGTTAAACTTCACTCTCGTGGACGACTTCCTGATCGTTGTTCAGTGGGTTCAAACTCGCGCGAACTGATGTGGTGCGCTCGCCTCCTTGGGCCAGTGCCAATGTTGCGTCAGACTCTCAGTAGGACGCTAAATATAAATTCCTATGACTGACCTCGGATGTCTACACTATAATCTTACTAACGAGGTCCAAGGGCGTAAGTGCAAGCAATTATCAGCTGTTTCAGGGCACAACCACGTTTGTAGATTAACCAATCAAGGCCAAGGGCGAAGTCTTTACAGTCTCATACAAACTAGGTGAAAACGGCAAGAAATCAAGAGAACGGTAGCAAAATATAACGGAACGACCATCGGATGTCGCGCAAGTCAGTTTTGAACAATTAAGGGAAGACCCATGACATTTTCAGTCAGGTTTAACAGTACCTGCGAGGGAGTCACACGGCAGACTGGCTGGCCAACTCGTGGGGCGCACGAAAGAGCGAAAAGTCTAGATTCTAGATTGTGGATCGATTAGCTGGCAAAACCACGTGACGCGGAAGGTCCATCGTTCATCCGCTAGATGGCGCTTCTCTAGTTGTCCGAACCTTAAAAAGTAAAATATGAAGATTTCAGTTACGATGTGGTAATTTTTCTATGATAGAAAGTACAGTAGAACTAACCAATCCGTTCTTCTTTTAAGCATTTTTGTTTTTGTATTTCCTAGGCGAGGGGAAATTGAGAAGTCAAGCTTTCCCTGCTAAATTGAAGTTTTTACCCACAATGCAATGACGTCGGCCACAAATATGAGAATGAGAATTTCTTCTCTACTCCTTTGTTTTGAAATGTATGACAACCTTCGGCTACAACAAACACAAATATCAAATGTCTAATTTACGCCGGCTAGGTAATCGATTTGCAAATTTGGAAACTAATGAAGAAAATGACCAGAAAAGAAAAATTCATAGTTTGTTGGAAAAAGAGGCTGGTGGTACAGCTAAGCATCACCATTGTCAGAAAACAGGCAGTAAAAGTTTCGTTGCCATGCTTTTCTTAGGTTAGTTGATTTCTATTATTCATTTTAGAAAAATATTTCTCAAATTTTTTAGAAGCTATGTTCCCCTGACGTATCTAAATTTGTTTATTCAGGTACTCTGTCGGGCATATTTCACTATAATCATGTCTCAACATTATTTGAAAATGACCGCTACTTTTCTCACCTGTCAAACTTGGAACGTGAAATGTGTTTCCGCTCTGAAATGGTAAATTTTGCATTTAATTTGTTTTCTATGACACTGTTGAGTTATGACACTCACTATTTGATTCTGTTCTGATTACAGGGTCTATATTATTCTTTTTTTAAGAGGATAGTCAATTCTCCCTCGTACTTTGAAGGAATTTCAGGCTTAACTCATGATAATCTAACAGAGTATCCAGGTTCTATTAATTCCCTAGGAAAATTTAATATTTACCCTGAGGTAAATACACATTTATTAAATTTTCAATTTCCAATTGTTAATTTCAGCAGTATTATATTTTGATATTAACTCTTTTTCTTCATTCTCACTACAGGCCATGATTGGGGCCATGTTCTCAATGTACCAAAAAGGCCTTAATGTCTTTGGAATCTCTGGGAAAGAATGCTTTCAAATAAACAGGGGAAAAGGACTGCCTCCGGTGGAGAGCTGCGTAGGATTAGAGGATCCCATATTTTTCTATTTGGAAGTGGTGTGGATATTTGCTGGTTTTACAGCTTTTCTGGTATTTTGCTATGGATCACACTTAAGGTTTGTCATCAGCAAGTTTATTAATTTTTTTTTCTCATTTTACCACTTTACAAAAGTTTCTTTATCATGGAAAGATTGTCTCATCTTCTTTTCTCCAGTGGTTCAGTCATTGGGGGATGTTTCACAATAGTGTCATTCTTTGCCAATCACGCTGAGGTATTTGTACAAGGCTTACTAGGACTTCTTGATTGATTGACCACTTTACTTCCAACGACTGAAATGTTCTTGTTTTTGACAGAGCACTCGAGTTCAGTGGACACCTCCATTACGAGAAAGCTTTGCCTATCCCGTGATTGTTCTTCATTGTATGATGGTCAGCAATACTTTACAAGAATTTGGGAAACATTTCATTATCTTTAAATGGTCTTGGAAGGTAACAAGTTCAAAGTTTCAATTCCATCTATTCATTCTGACAAGTTAAACACAATTTATGGAAATTAATTTTTCAGAGCTGGGTTGTATCATTTAGTTGTTGCATCAGCCTTCTTTTTTGGCAATTTACTCAATTTATTTTTGCCAGTGAGGTGGTAATTGTTGTAGTTATGTATGCAACCGGGCTCATCAACAAACTTTTATATCAATCAATTCTTCAATGGGTATCGGTACGTATAAAACAAGCAATGCTAACAAAAGTAGAACTCTTTTGATGTATGAGAAGTTAAAACTTTGTGTCCACTATGTTCTCTAGGTTGGGTATATACTGGCATTGGCAGGACTCATGGGTAACCAGCTCCTATTGTTCTCATTTCTTACCACAATCTTGGTTTCGGCCTGGATCCTGCTTGCACATGATAGGAGTGTTACTCAACTGACTTTGTCTTGGGGTTCTTTTAGAAGAGTCTGTGGTGTAATTTGTGTTGCAGTTTTGTTAAAGTATGGTCTCTTTAGCACTGGTAGTGATGTAAGTAGGAAAACTATATCTTAAAATTGTGTGGGATTTACTGAACACACAGTACAACTTACTCAGTATTTAACTGTATTACCTCTTACACAATTATCCTTTTCAGTCTCATATTGTGAAAATATTTCTGACTAAGATATTTGAGAATATGAATGATTTCCATACTCTCATGTACACCTGTGCTCCTGAGTTTCAAGGGTTGCCATGGTCATATGTAGTTCATTTAACTAAATCTCTTCTCATCCCATTTCTTTCTGCAATATTTTTGATTTTTTTTTGGTCTGAAATTTATCTACTTCATCCATCAGGCACTTCATCTGAAAGGTTGATATTATGTCAACATGAGTTTTGTATGCTATATTGTGCTCAGTGCTCAATGGAATCTAGTAATGCTTTTCTTGTTTCAGCTCTCAGAAACTAACGCTCATGGAAAGATTCGACTATAGTATAAGACTTTTTCTCAAGCGACTTGATCTGTCACTTGTCTTCAATATTTTACTTTTAGCTGTTTACTTTGTGCTGTCTATGATGGCAATGCGCTTGAAACTTTTCCTCACCCCACACATGTGTATCTTAGTTTCTCTGATTGCATCAGACACGGTAAATAATTAACCATTTTAATAGCTGTTGAATCTTGTCTCATTCAAAAGCTTCATAAATATCACAGTTTAAACTGACTTCAAATTTGCAGGTCCTTAAAACTATCTCTATTGTTAAAAAAAACCAATGCAATAAAATTTCATTCCTTCTGGTGATGCTTGGAATTTTATGTGTGCTTGGATGCACCAATATTAAAAAACAACATGATATTCAAGGTGAGCATTACTTTTCCACGCCTGTAATTGCCAAAGATACCAATTTCATTATCTGTTTCATATTATTAATATCTACTCTTGTGTCAGGAGAGTACTCAAACTACCCTTTGGAGGAGCTTCTGACTTGGGTTGAAAAAAACACAAACAAAAAAGATGTCTTTGCTGGACCTATGCCAATTATGGCTAGCATCCTTCTGTCAACAGGACACCCTATAGTAAACCATCCATATTATGAGGATGAAGAAATGAGGTGAGCTCCGTAGAGGATGTACAAAATATACTTTGTATCACTTCAAATGTGTCCTTTACAATCCAATCTCTTATCTTATGTTTTAGAGCCCGCACACTTGAAGTTTATTCAGTTTTTAGCCGTAAACCCTCTTTGGTAGCTTATGAGGCTATCAAACAGCTTGGAGCCAACTTTATTGTACTTGAGGCTAATAAATGCTTTGACAATCGACAACGGAGGTGAGACTTTTTTCCATCAAACTGCTCTGGTATTTCTTCTGTTTTCATATTACGTGCGTTTATTTCAAACACCTCTTTTTTGTCAGCAGAGGTTGCAGAATGACAGACTTATGGGACATTCAAGACCCCAAAAGAGTGAAGAGACCGGCCCTGTGCCCTCAACTCTTTAGTGGTGATGCATCTCCCTTTGTCCGAGTTTTCAAGAATTCAGAGTATGTTGTTTTGCAATTAAATGTGGGAAAGAGAGATGCGAGCAAAGAATTACCTTGATGTTATACAAACTGTCTTATCGTGATGGAATTAACCAAAGTAACTTAAATACAGTATTATAGCAATAAACCCAGTCTATTGAAACTTAGAAAGCGCGTCACTGTGTTTCAGCAGGACTCTGGCTGCCTTGTCGGCACGCTGCTCGCAGAACTGATCCATGAACCCTAGCTATGTGTCTTCAGGGGACCGACCCGCCGAGGATGCGTCCAAGTAGCGGTCAGGAACAGGAGCCGATATCGTGAGCATGAGGAGCCTGGTGACTGGTGAGGGTGCGGGTTGTTGTCCTCCCCCTGGCCCTCCCCGCTCCCCCCGCGAGTGCTGCTGTGCCGCGACACCTTCCCTTTCCCCTACGATCGTTGGATGTGGGTCCGGGCCCGGCCCTGCGGCGTGGCCTACCGAACCCAGTGTGCCCAGAACCAGAACCCCAACCAGCTCGGCTGAGGCCCCGCGAGCAAGGGGTGGGTAGGGCCGGGTGGGGCCCCACCTCCGCCAGCCGGCGTGGCGCGGCGCGGTGCGGCGCGGTGCGGCGGAGGGGGCCGAGGAAGTTGGGTGAATGGGGCACTGGGTAAGGTAGCGGTAGCATTGGCGGAAGAGCCCCCCGGCCTCGAAGCGCCCCGCCCTATCCGGTCCCCACAGGATCTGCTGCAACCGTTTTGCCCCGCGGGGCCCGTCCAAAATACGAATCACTCAGTGGGGCCAATAAATCCATTAGATCGAGTTGCTCTGTGGGCAGACCTTTCTAGAAAACACTTGGGTGTTGGTCCAATCGGCCAAGGGGAACCAGCCCCCGTCTGTCTGCAGCGGCGCGCGGGGTGGTACGGCGGTGCGGGGGCGGCCCTTTGGTCCCGGGCCGGGCGGGCAAGGTCGGTGAGCCGATAGCGATATCTCGGCGGAAGGGCCGCGCCGGGGTTTATTTTCTATGGCGAGATAAATAAAACGCTGTCGCCGACCGCGGCGTCGCGCAAAGTGAGGAAAGTTGGAAGCTTGTTAAAAAAAAAAGAACAAACGATACCAATTTTGCTATGAAAATGCCCCCCCCCCTCCCCCAGGAATGTCCTTCCCCAATTCATTCGCCAGCTTTCTCACCGCCCGCTTATCCTACTGCTCATCTCGGACGACTTTTCTTTCTTTTTCTTATTTGGGTGCGAGTGGCGGGTGGTGGCTGGGCGCGACGCGGGCCGGGCGACGCTCGCATCCAGTTGGATGGATAGATGCCTCATGCGCGGGGCCAAAGATGAATTCAAGGCAACGAGAAAGGATGAACCCCACAAACTAGACGGAAAGATTTCCCAGCGCGCGTTTTGTGTTCCGATGCACGTCGTGACGGGGGTGGGGTGGGTGGATGGATGGGGGGCCAGGCAAGTAGCCCGGCCCGGCCGTGACGTGGCTACA